GTAGCCTGAGAACAATTAAGAATGGTATGTTCATCTTTTTTTAATGTTCAGTTATATGGAAACCATGTTTCTTTATTAGTAAAACAATGAACTGTAAAGATCCAATTTTAGATCATGTTTTTGAAAATGGAAAGACCACCTGAAATTGAACTTCAGTTCTATTGGGGAGGCATTATAACAATGTGACTGAAACCTTCCAGAAAGGTTAGTAATCTTCCAGAAAAGGCAATTCTTTAGAGAACTGACTACAAAATTTTAATCGCTGAAAATACAAGATGTAATACTAATTTGGATAAGAAGAAAAAATCTTAGTTGAAAGAGGCAATAAAAATCTCCTAGTCATCGTCTCTAGTGGATGTTTCCTGGCATCTGCTTGAGAAAGTGATGAGAGGCTTACTTCTTCCCCAAGCAAGCATTTATGAAAAGTTCTGTTAGAATATTACATTTAGCAGTTTTCCTAAAATTTCTTTCAGTGTAAGTTCTCTGTCTTTTGAGGCCACAGGTAAATTCTTCTTCCACTTGACAGCAGTTTTCAGATAGTTCAAAGGCTACCATATACCCCTGTCATATCCAGGGAAAACTCTCCCAATTCCCAAAGCATATATCCTTACAAACATGATTCCCAGAGCCATTGTTACCCACACTTCACACATGAAAATCATTTTAGATCACATAAAGAATACAGGCAATTTGGTGAAACAAAATGACTAGTGTCCCATTAAGTAAACTGTTGTTACGACAATAGTTTGTTGTAACAATAGTGACTGCCAATGCAGTCTCAAGAGCACGTGAGTTATGCAAACATTTTTAGGGTGTACTTTTTATAACATTTAAAAAAGATGTTACTAGTTACAAATACAGAAGTCTTTTGCAACAAGAATTTTCAACTTTAAGACCTTTTATATAATAAGACTTTAGAGTCATAAGTCAACATTTTTCAAGCAGAGATTCCTTGGGTTCATGAGAAACTGTTTCTTTAAATACATTATTATTCATATTTTAAAAAGTCTTAGGATATCCCATGGAATGGAATGTTAGCCAATAAAGTTTTAAGGCTTTGGCAAGGATGATTACATTTATGATAAGAGAAAGCAGATTTAGCAGATATGAATTTACAACAATAAACTCAAGTGTATAAAAAAGTCATGTGTTAAAAATCAACTGAGTTGCATCTGAATCTCTATTCCACTGGACAGGGAATTACTACTATCTTTGGTTCACTCTCCTGACTCTCCAAAGCGCTCCACGGTCTCAAGTACAGGGCTTCTCTGTTTCCACTGTGTTTGAATGTGTAGTCTGGGAACTAACACTTGCTTAGGTGTGTCACTCAGCTACTTCCCAATGTGGCCATCTCTCCCAGAGGCAATGTTATATTATCACCAGCAGTTTCCCTAGACTCCTGCCTGCCACCCCCTGTGCCTATCTTCAACGATCCTCTCCTCTCCTCATTCTTGCAATCTAGTTTCTCTTAAGTCTGCTATTACTCATAGGAACAATGTTATTTTTACTTATTATTATTAACAAGATGGTACAGATATGGTTAAATCACTTGGTTACTATAATAGGTTGCATTTCATAGAAAGTAAAGTTTTACACACTGATGAAAGAGGTGCCTTTAAAGCTAGACCACTCTAAGTCCACTGATAAGTATAAGTCAATGGAAATTACTTTGTTTCCTCAAAAATAATGTTCTTGAGAGAAAATATCCTTTATTAGAGAAACAGTCCTCTTATGCAACATGAAATCATCACAAGAAGGAAGTGAAGGATATTAAAAATCCTCTGGGTATTACTTCCAATTATTTAGCAAGGACAGGTTTAAGGGACAATTTACTTATTGGACACTTATGATCTGCCATCCATTAGAAGCTAATAAAGCATACCACTGCCTTTATAAAGTGGCTCTTAGGACTAACTCCTAAGAGCATGAGCAGCAGGTCATAAGCTCAGGACTGGGTAGATAAAAGCAGGTATCAGATGGAATGGCAATCTTTTACTGTTTGGGGTATATGAAAACAATCAGAACTGGGAATGTTCCCCAAAGAGGTTCTGGCGCTATCTTGATCCAATATCTTGTCAGCATTATATCTCGAGAAGGTGGGATTTACGATGCAGGGAGTCAGAGGGCTGACAAGCTTACATTTCTGCTTGCAATTTCCTAAATTTGGCTTTGGAATTATTTTTATAAATACAACTTTTTAAAATTAAAGTATCATTGATATACAATCTTACATTGATTTCCAATATACAACACTGTAGTTCAACAGTTACCCATATTATTAAATCCTTACCCCCTCCAGTGCAGTCACTATCTTATCAATATACTAAGATGTTACAGAATCATTAACTGATACAGTATTCTTAATCACATTTGATCCTCCTTTATCCACAGTTTTGCTTTCCACCATTTCAGTTACCTACAGTTATTCAAGGTCTGGAAGCAGATGATCCTCCTGACATATTGTCAGAAGGTCAATAGTAGCCTAATGCCTACATTATTCACCTCACTTCATCTCATCACACAGGCATTTTATCATCTTACTTCACCAGAAGGATGAGTATGGGAGAATATTTTGAAAGACAGATTACATTCACATATATTTTATTATACTATGTAATTACTCCATTTTATTATAGCTGCTCATCTCTTACTAGGCCTAATTTATAAACTGAACTTCATGTATATATGTATATATATAAAAAACATAGTATATATAGATATACATACATAGAGTTTGGTATTATGCAGTTACAGGCATCCACTGCTGTCTTAGAACATACCCCTGTGGATAAGGGAGGACTACTGTATGCTTAAAAATTTTTTTCCAGTAACATGTAACAGTAGAAAAGTAAACGATAATCTTGAGCTCCTACTTCCCATGCATTTAAGCCTAGCTTTCTGGACAGAGCCAAATAATCCATACTCCTTTGTAGCTTATCTTATCTAATATGGAAAATGTCATTACATTAAAAGTCTCTCCTTGACTAAATATTGAAGTATCTACCTAACCCAGAAGTTGTTTTGAAAAGCATAAACCTATAAAATGGCAGCAAATTACATAAAACATTTAAGCAATTACCTTGGTAATTTAACCAGCATAAACTTCTAAAATGGGATCTCTGTTTGACTTTCTGTCTTCCACTTTAAAAAAGACAAAAAAAAAAAAAAAAAACACAACATAACTGTAAACTAAGAACTTGTATAGGTATGGAATTCTATAAAATGTGTGTTTTGTGATAACACAGGCCAAGATATCTATCTACATTTTCTCCCACTGGACAGATGAATGGCTTGTAGTCACATTACCGTATGCAATTTTAAAGTAGTAGCCCACATCTGCAATCATTTTTGTATGTTCCAAAGTATATCAACTGCATTATATGCTTTCAAAGTTGATGTTCTTGTTCCAGTGGAGTACTTTTTTTCCTCCTCTTTTAATAAATTTGGTCACTTGGTGTTTGGAGGCCAGAATTTAAAATATGCATGCAGTATTTAGCTAGCCAAATTAAGAAATTTTAGTTCCATGAAAAGAAAATGTAAGCAAAGTACACAAAGTATTTAAACTGCCAGGATCTAAAAATTAGGGAGTTCATGATATCTCAGGCTTATCATAGTCTCTGTGTGGTTAAAAGTAAGCTGGAGCTGGGTAGTGATGTCTACCTTTCCCAGGGCATAAGGTCTCCTGTCCTTACCTCTCTACTCTTCATGGCCCTGAGATCAAGTCAGTGACTATTTATTAAGGTGTTCTGTGCTGCTCTACTTAAAGAGGAGTTGAGAAACCCCATCAAAGTGGGAAAATGGCAGAGACAAGATAAATGGGAGAAAGTAATTGAGTGGAAGTACATATTCCTGTTTCATATGCAAACAAAATACATGTAAAAAGACAATTATTCCACTAGAAGACAAGCTCATGACTTGCTTTACTCTAATACATGCTTGGTTCCTGTATGCATGTTCTAACCTTCTGGGAAGCCCTAGATTTATAGCCTCAAAACTGAGTCAATATACTTTCTCTCACCAAATATAAAGATAGGGTAATGCTAAAAGTCCTACATGACCCCAAGATTACAGGATTGTTCTAAGAAAGGGTTTCCTTTTATGTTTATGTTTTCAATAGCTCACAAAAATATGAAATACTTTCAGATCAAAGACTACTATTCAGACTTAGTCCCAAATGGGCCAAAATCTTGTCAGGTTAATAAAAATCATATTAAACAAACCAGTAAATCTAGAACTATACTTTACAGACTAAATCTTATGTTCTTGAATTCAGGATGAAGGAGTACAGGTTTTAAACTGCTGTAACAAATCATACAATTATTGCACAATAATTAGATGCTAAAACTTAATTTAGCAATTAAGATGGGTAGAAAGTATTTTGAAAAACATGAAAAGAAATCAGTCCTAGTAACAGCCATGACACAAGGATCTCGGCTATCAACAGCATGTTGTAACTCCCAGGCATCCTACCATTACAACTCTTGTCAGTGTAAAATGAAGCTCTGGCATTAACACTCACCTGGCTTTAAAACAGAAGAGATACGCAGGTGACATTTCAGCACTGATGAGCTAACGAGTCATAGGGGGCTCTTTTACTTACCAAAGTATCAGAACACTACACGGTCCCTGTAGTGCTGACCATTCCAACTTTGGATATGTGACCTGGCTGCCAGGCTGGACTCCACGCTTGATCCCCACTTCCCAGCTTCTCACGCTGTGCTGGCACATGGTGATCACTTTTTGATTGACATCTCCACAATTCTTTGGTTTAAGCTGGTTCAGTCATGTTTGGGGATGATATTCCCCACCACAAAATGTGTTCTAGCTGACATCATCAACCTCCTCTCTTTTTGTATACTACCCAGTGAAGAAAAGTCAGGGTACTGTGAGTACTTTGGGCCTCCTCATCTCCTTCCCCAGAAGAGTCTAATCTTAGGTTGGTCCTTTTCCTTTTGTTACAACAGCAATTTCTCTTACAGAAAACAGACTTCCAGACTTCAGAGGTTTAAAGCTTCATTAGAAAAATCATACACAAAATAAAAACTATATTTATCAGGAACAATAATTATATTTCATTCATCAAGTTCAGCAAATTCATTTAAAACATAAGTTATAGTACAGAATGAGAAATGACAGCATAAAGTCTTAAGACAACTAATCTGTAAAATTAGTCCCTCAAAACAATATATTATATTGTTTTAATAAAAGGCAACTGCAGTTCCATTTTCCAAGCTGTCTTCATAAGTTGAGGGTATTCTGTAATTGGTTTTTACATTGTGTTCTTCACAACAAATTTAAGATGTATGACATTTCCTCATCACCAAGTACTTTATTCCCCAAAATCTTTAAACCAGGTGTCTATGTTGTCATGTTGTCACCTTTAGTTTGCCGAGGAATATGAAACTGCTTTGAAGGTAAATCCAAGTTCAGTCCATACCAAAGTTTTAGCACTGGGGTAATCTGTCCTCCTTTGCTTCTTAGGAAGCATGATGAAGACTCATCTGTGGTCACACCTGAGATTATGATGAGCTTTTTCTTTAAGTCTGTCTACTAAGTGCTACACCTCTCTGTCTACCCATCTCTGGGAGCTCCATCTCCCCCTGTCAGAGGAGGTGATTTTTGTTTAAAGTCTCTCAATTTCTTCAAATTATATCTGAGTTTATATACGATTTGTTTATTGCTGTTTCAAGAAAATGTTAAAACCCTGACAGAAATTTACCATCTGTCCCAGTTCCACTCTATCAGGGCTCCCCAACAGGTTCCGATTTGCTCTGACAGCAGTGTCAGGATGCCCATTACGGTCAGCACTGGAATACTATTTTTTTTCTAAAATCTAAGAGCCTTTCTGATTAGCTGGAATCAATCAGAATAAAGTCAGTCTCTGAAAGTGAAGTTATTTGTACTGTTCCATTCTGTTTGGTTACATGCACATGACAGACAAAAGGCAGGATGATTTGTTTATCCTGGAACAAAACTAGATAGTGTGCATAACAACAAGGCAGGTTGGCTAAGATAATTCTGCAGCTTAGAGAAATTAAATCTAAGTGCAAGCTGAAACTGAGTTGTAAACTAAGTCTCCTAACTGAAATTCAAACTACAATAAAGATGACGGGGCATTAACAGGGCCAGTGAATTAAAAAATTATCGAGGTGGAAAGCCACCTCTGTGTGTTCCTCCTCGGCCCCCCCTGAATCTACCTCTTTCTCCTCGGAAGTTAGATCGATTTCTTTCCCGTCCACGACTAGTAGAAGTTCCACCTCTTCTTCCACCCCTGGGAGCACCACCTCCCCGGTCAGACTTAGATTTGGGGCGAGGTGATTTTGGTCGAATTCTGTCAATTTCTTCTGTACATCCAGCCAAGTAGGAATTAGGGGGACTGAAGTACGATGCCTATGTTTCCGCATTGTAGTTGCTATTTGTTAGACCCCTCTGCAACTGTAAGCCAGCCTGAAGGGGGAAAGAAGCATTATCATTTTTTTTCTCAATTCTCTCTTATTTGTCCATTAGGACAAATTTCAAATCTTAAAGATGTCCCTATCAACAATATTGATCTTTTTTATAGAATGCAAGACATTTAATCATGCTCATAAAGATTTCTTATGTATTTATCTTATTTTTCTTCCTAAACTGTAACTTTTGTAGTATATCTTCCTTATTGACTCTATCCATGTTTCACAATCTGTGAGAATAGAACTTAAAAAAAAAAGTATGCAGTACACTGAGTTTTGGCCCAGTGAAAATTTAATGTTACGTAACCTTCCTACTCGTGGCAATGGTACCAACTTTTACCTGTACTCTCCAATCACAATAACCCAGTTTGATAGGTCCCAGAAATCCAACCCCTAACTACCATGCTGCACCCATTCACCCCATCTTGCCATTTCCACTACCACCCTTAAATTTGTTTACTTCTTTTATTAGGCCAGTGCCCTACACATGTTAACAGATGTACATACATACTGAAATGCTCTCCCAACCTATCCTCACTCTAAAAGTGAAAAGCCTAAAGCAAAGCTTCATACATGGTACTTAGACTCTGAGCGGCCATCTAGCACCTTCCACAAAGCCCAAGTTCATAAATATGGAATCTAAGGTCTTTTATAATGAAGCTTGAACTAACTTTCCAATCACATTTCTCACTAACGCTTTTCATGACACCTGCATTTGAGTAAACCACTACAAAAAGTGTTTCCACATTAATTTCCACCTCTGAGCCTGTTTTCTTTTTTATCCAGTCAACATGATGAAAATTCCACCCATCAATATCCAACTTAAATATACATCCTGCATGAAATAAAAATAATTTCTCAGAATTTCCACTGAACATTGTATTTCTATAGGTAAAAAGGTATTTTTGTCAACTACATTACTAGACAACTTTGCTTATAATAAGGATTGTTTCTTACTGATTAAACTGTGTCTGAAATGGGAGGAACCATGGATTATCTGTAAATGCCCAACAGAGACATTATGCTTTGGAGTATCCTGGGTGTGCTGATTCTTTTAACTGACACATTTTTGGGGGAGACACTGGAAACGTGTATGGAGTGCGTTAAGAGACAAGGGCTGCTTTAGGACAGGTCATATAATCTCCAAGAATCAGGCTCTTCATCTGAAAAATTCGGTTCAAAATATTCTGCTTTATCATCCTCAAGGTTATTTATTACAATGTTAGATCCGTCATAAAATGCAAAATATTTTACTAGGATCACATTCTAAAATGTAGTAGCCATTTCTGCACAATACTTTGTTCATCCTTTTAAAAAATCAGTATCTTACAGTGCATTGATTACAACGGAATTTGTAATATTTGAAGAAAAAACTAACAGATTAATCATTCTGGGTCTTTTTTATATTATCTAGTGGATACCCTGATAAGTAGAGAAGTACCTATTCAGAGTAAAGAGCACATTATACACCTATATGGTCTCATCAACAACTTAATTTGTAAGATTTCTAACTTGCACCCTTCTAGTTTTATGGCATGTGTGTGGTATTGTGGGGCACAACACACCAACAAGGGGAAAGAAGAAAATTTAAAGATGAAAAATAGCTAATGCTGTCTCTTTCATGCCTCTTTCATGCCTTACTACCTTTTACATACCTAACACATTCAAATCTTTACACACTAAACTATAAGGGACTCTGCCTCCCCTATACAAATTCTTAATTCCAACAATGTTTCATCATAATTTCTAAAGGTATTACAATGAACCAAGTAAGTTTAAAATAGCCTACCTTCAGTGTATTTGACATACATAGCAATTTTTAAACCTTTTAAAGCAATGGCAAGTAGTATTCCTAAGGTATATGTAATATACCTTAAGACTACCTCCTTGAGGAAGAAGTGTATTTGAGGAATCAACCCCCAAAATGAAGCCTTTTGAGTAGAGTAGACCTCTCTCAATTGTTCCTATTCTTAATTAATATACATGGTTAACCATCAACCATCTGTAATTTCCCCAAGCAGATTTTCCTTCCTAAATTGTATTTTACTATGCATAGTTAATATAAAAATAACATTTGCAAGAATGGGCAAGAGTAAAGAATCAGATGTAGTTTACAAGAAAAAAATAAAATTTGTGCCTCTAAGCCTGTGTTCAACTGGTATAGACAGAAATAGAAGGATATCCTGTATGAAAGGTGTAATGTATAATCTCAAGTGGGTAAAGTGTCACAGCTACACGGATGGAAACCCCACTGAATATTGTAGTTATAAATAAAAGTTGGTATCAGGCAAAATCTCTATTTTAGTTGCTATTTATGCTTATTCCTATAACCACACTTAACAATCATCTATTCTCTCTATTCCTTAGGTTCATCTACTTGTGTTAAAAAACATTAATTAAAATAATGTTATAAAAACATTGAAATAATTATAAATAATTTCTTCAAATATAGAAGTATACTTGACATAATACTGAGAAAAATACAAAATGATAACTATAATTATGTAAAAACATATTGACAGAAGGACTGGAAAATACTTTGTAAAAGATGAAAACAATTCTTAAAGTTAGCGATAATGAATTTTTTTTCTTCAAAATGTTCTTTGTTATTACACTGATTTTTCAATTATTGTTAAGATTACCATTGTTTGATGATTGCTTTTACTTTTCAAAAGGTTTTCCTTTTCCTTTTAAGGTTTTCTACATCCTTTGAACAGCTGTTACCACTGGAGATTGTTTCCAGATTTGGAGTTCTTTTTGGGTAGGACAGATTAATGATGGAAGAGAAAAGTCCGTTCCTTATTTCCTCAAACACTGGAGCCATAATCTTGATATTCAATATATGTGGACATACACACTTTCTGAAAAACATACCTGTCAGTGTTTTTATCTAATGATGTTACTTTTTTTAAGCCAGTGAAGAGGAAATATTTGCTTGTCACAAGCTCTACTGCCAAAATATTCTTACTTTGATAAGAAAGCAAAATTATCTACAAAACTTCTAAACATGTATATGTGCAGAAGGTTAAACTCAAAGGTCATTCTATAAATGTATATATATGTATGGACTGCATGTATATTAAGGAAAACTGGTTTAAAAAGTTAAGGAAACTAAAGTATAAACTAAAGTATAAACCCTTTAAAAGTCAATATATTATTTTAATTTAGACTTTAAATAATTCAAAGATGAATGCTGCAATCTCTAAGGTAACCACTGAAGGAACAAGAAGAGAATATCTAACTTACAAGCTAATTAAAAAGGAAAAATGGAATGAAATAATACAAAAGAAATGAGAAAAAAAGGAACACTGAACAGGTGGTACTCCAATGTAAGGCAAACAGTACAATGGTCATTTATGCCCAAATACATCAGGGCTTAGATTAAATGTAGATTAACTAAACAGTTCAATTAAAAGATAAAGATAAACTGGATGAAAAACCACATATTTGTTCACAAGACATACACCTTAAATGTAAGAATATGGAAGACTGAAAGTAGAACAATGGAAATAACATACCATATAAACACAAACCAAAAGAAAGCTGGAATGGCTATCACAGCATCAGATGGAAGTAGAAATTAAGGTAAAAATCACTGGCTAAAGAAGGATGTTAAATAGTATTAGCTAAAGAAGGATGTTAAATAGTATTAAGAGGGTCATCTACGAGGAAGGAATAAAAATTCTGTTTTATATGCACATAACAACTGAACTTCAGATATAAATAAGAAATTGATAACTAAACTAAAAACCCATATCATAAAAGATTCTAACAGACCTTTCTCATGAACAAGTAGTTAAAAAGTCAGCAAACACATGGCTGACATAAACAGCACACAATTAATAATATCAGAACCAAAAACAAAACAATATGCATTCTTTTCAACTGGACCTGGAACATTTATCTAAATTGGGTCAAAAGCAAACCAACAAATTACAAATGAGTGAAATAGTATGGTGTATGTTATTTGACTACAACATTAAGCCAAAAGGCAATAAAATGATAATTTAAGTAACACAATGCTGAATAAAAAACTTAAATACAGGGAACATTTTCTCTAAAGCCAAATGTATAAATGCCTAATGTACAGCGTATACATATCACATGAAAAAAATTTACTGGTAAAGAGACTTCAGTTTTACTTTTCTCTTTATTATTTTACATAATTTTATGAAATTTGAGGCTATCAGTTTCTACAACTGAAATATTTTCAAGTTATGGTGTTCATCAAAGCACACCCACAAAGAAATACATGGTGGGTGGTGGAAGCAGAAGAGGAATGGGTTATACATAAAATTTAGAGAACTTTAAGGACTGCTTTTTTTAGAATGAAGATCAGAGTTTCTTCTAAATTCTTACATACGTTCAAAGCCAATTATTCTACTGTAACTTCTTCAACTTCTCTTACTTTTTATAAACTGCAGAATGTTTAAAAGAAAAATTCTGACTCTTCAATCTTTAAACAGTGCCGCTAACATGGGAAGGCCAAACGCACTGATTTTATGTATTGTGACTAAGGCGATGTAATGTTAAAAGTTACTCTGACATTTTCTGAGGAAAGTAATAAATAGAATGTACTGATAATTCAAAATAACAGCTGTGCCCTCTAAAAGAAAATCCTATTCCACAATAGCCTAATTATTTTTTACTCCTGTATTTTAAAAATAGTAAATTCACATTACATTGATTTAGTAAGAAGTTAAAATTTTGAAAACACCACTGTACATGTAAGGAAATAAGACAGCTACTTTAATTGCTAATAAAGGCAAGACCTGTACTTCACAAATGTATGGTTGTTTTCTGCAGTATTATTCAATCATTCATTTATGCATTTCTTCACTCAACACAATATTTACTGAATGATCTGAATACTGGGTAGAAAGGAGTAAGACAATCTTTGCCTTCTATGAGACTGCATGCCAGAGAGACTAGCTATAAACATATGCCCAGATGAATCTATAATTCAGATGATGGGTGGTATGAAGAAAAGAAAGCAGATTAAGGGGGAAGAGAGTGGCAGAAGGAGGGAGTGGGGTGGAAGTTGGCTAGTTTACACAGCATTGTGAAAAAAGGCCTGTCTGATACTTCAATGAAAGGAGAGAGGACCATGGAAGAAAAATGAGACAAAAATAAGCCTGGCATATTTCAAGTACAGCAAGAAGAATTAAACACATCATAAGAATTTTATTTTACACAGCACTGTGTACTGTTTTTTTGACACCTACATCCCAAACAAGCATAAAATCATAAAATGTTTTTGAAACTACCTGGTCGAATTGTACTGTCTCTTCCAAACAGATGAAGGCGTCTTCTACCAAGACAAAAATGTTCAATTATATGAAAAATTTCTACAGGTTTTTCTATATTGCCAATTTCGGGTTCTTCTGTGATAATCAAGTCAATGTCAACATTAGCATGAATGAAGTCCCCATCTGTGCTACGCTTAACAGTTCCTTTGATCCCCATAAGGCAGTGTTCCTGAATAACAATGAGAGCAGACCAATTAGTCTCTTTTCATCAACAGTCATATTCATACCATTTTACATTTCCAATCTCCCCAATTCCAAAATAGTCTTCATTTCCCTGAATCTTTGGGATGTATTTCTATGAGCAAAAACCACAACAGGAAGACCTAGATCTTGGAATGTGGGAAGGTTGCAAGGGGGGCTAGACACAAGAGTATTAAACTTGAAGCCGTGCCATTTTAGAATGAGGTCAATATGAACTCTTTTCCTCTGGAACACTTGATAATAACTTTTCGCTAGTAATGGAAACATGGCACTTCCATGGAGCCTTAAAATGTTATATGAGGCCTCATATGATCTAAGATCAAAACCATACATGTAAGTGTAAGCATTTTTATATAGAGAGGGGGCTTAAAGCCTAAATATAGATTTCTCAACACTCAACGTAAGTAAATGTGAAAATCAAACAATTTTCCTTTTTTGTTTTTTTTTACCTTCTCTATTTACCTCGGATGGAGGGGTATGGATTAAATAAATTTAATCATAGCAGGGCAGTTGTATGATGCAGAGGTTCTCAGGGGTTCTTATGCAGGAAAAAGAAGGAAAGAGAAGAGAAACTTGCCTCTAAGCTGGCCAGCTATGTGTCTGGTTTTCATCTCTTTTTTTGGGCTCGGACAAAAGGAAAAAATCTGGCGGTGGATCAAGAGTACCAAAACCTCATATCTGATAAAATTATGGCAATTTAGGCCATATAGGAATACCTTCTCCAGCACAGTGGAGGTTGATCTAACATACTGAATATTTTAAAGTTCATTTGGATGTATTACTGTAATGCTCAATGCCATTTGTAAGTCTAAGAAAAGGACCTTTCCACCATAATTAAACAATAAACAGACATTTGGAAAAGCCTGAGAGAAAATAATGAAAACAAAAAGAAAACAAAAGAGCAAAGGTAATACCTTTGTTCTCTGGAAGACAGCCTTTGCATCTGAAGTCTTAGTCTTCCCCCCTTAGTCTTGTTTTTATTGGTTTTAATCCAACAAGTATCTTCACATCTTCTGTAACCCCACTTTGGTAAAACCTAAAAATGAAAGAAAAAAAGAAATTGTTAGCTAAAAGAAGTTAACAATACTTTAACCAGCCAGCATTTAAAAGCTTTCTGAAGGTTTGAGACACTAAATTCCAAGGTGTCATGGTAATTTTGTTTTAGTGAAGAAATGGAAAAAAAAGAAATTTTAGTCTTTATATAGTCATTAAGTGAAATACAGATACCTTTTGGATATTAATATAATATATAGAGTTAAATATCAAAACACAGAAAGGATTATATAATACTCTAATTCTTTAATAGTACCTTCCATTGTCCTCAATAGAAAATGAGTTTTTAAATCAGTCCCTTTTTCATAGAACAAGTCAAAAGATAATTTGATTCTTGCCACCGCAATTTCCTATACTCTCACAAAACTAAAAACTTTTGAGAATGTTCCACTTACCAACTTCAAAAGAGTCTTGTTATTTTTATGTATTTAATATTAACAACCTCAAAAAAATCAGACTTAAAATGGTTATATATGTCTCTTTATTGTATAAAGCTTTGTTTTTATCTTTATGTAATCTACAAAACAGATTTCAACCTTAGTATCCTAGAATGTTGCATACAAATATGTATACAATGCTCAGAATAGCATTTTGAAGGCCTACCATTTGTAGGTGCTGGCTACATGCTGGAAAAAAAAACATGAAAAAAATACCCTACTTACCCCAACTGACTTAAGAGCAAAGAAGGGAGAAATAAATAAATTGTGCAGTACAATATTGTTGGTAATATGATCAAGTACATAGAAAAATAGAGCATGAAACGCAGGCAATATTCAGGAATGCTCTCAATGTGTGAACTGAGCTACACATCAAAATGAGACTTAGATTTTTATTTTAAAATCTTGAAAATCAAGATCAGTATCTATTCCTGTTGCCAAATATTTGTTTTGTACTTGATGTTCATTAAACGTCACAAGGGCTTAAACCCTACATGCCCTAATCAATCTACCAAAAGCTCATGAGTATTCTCACGTTGAATTATTCTTATAATCATTTCTGGCCAAAATCTGCTTTCACCAGTATGATAAACTGTTGTATAAATAAATAAAATAAAACCTCCTGATCAACTTTCAACCTAAATTGGCGGGGTGGGAAGAAAGCCCAAAGACACACATTAGAGCTAATAAAGGTAAATACCAACATACCTATAAAAACATACAGTATGTTTCCATTTTCTTAGCTTTTGAAAAGCATCTAAGGGAGGCAGCAGCAAAAAAAGAGAAGTTAATAAATGAAAGTAACAATGATTTCACTCAACAGTTTCAAATTTACTATAGATACAAAGAATACAAAGTAACTGTAGAATTTCAAGATTTGAGCACAAATTTATCTCAATATAATCCTACTTGAATTCTTTACCTGTCAAATGGACACTTTCTAAAATTACCAGGATTAAATGAGATCATTTGCTGCATAGCAACATAGCAAGCAGCATGTCCTAAAAATGGAAAGTATCACCCAGTAACAAGTGAGGAGACTGAAACCCAGTAGAGTTAAGTATCTCTTCACCCAAACTTTCACTGTTGGACACCAAAACTGAGACCAGAAGTGAAGACTTCTAATACCTAGCCACAATGCTCCCATTATTTTTGGATAGGAAAGTATGTTATTTTATTTCCTATTAGAAATCTAAATGTTCCAATCAAAAAGAGCCAAGTTCTAAAATACAGTAAGTGTAAGGTACTTAAAATAAATTGAAGTGTTACAACTTTCTCACTCTCTTTCATTCAAACTGTTATGCTCCAGATGCTGTTATTTTTCCAAGTTGATTTGGCTTCTATTTGGAATTCAGATGTTAATGTTATTCAGAAGAATACTACTCATGCATAGTAAGTGACACGAAGCAACTGGTTTTTGAGCTTTAATTTGGTTTCGAATCTCTAAACTGTTTTCTTCCTGCCCTTGTACTACATAACACTTTGAATTACTCATCCCGAGTACTGGTGAACAAGGGGTGCTGCCTTTTGCCAATTCTTTCCTGGACAGTTTTTTCACCTGAATATTTTAGTATTATTTAAGAAACAAAGGACATATTAATAACATTTATCTTCAAACTTCTTATGCAACATACTGTGTTACTTATTTTTCTTATGAGTTTAAAAATCCACTTTAGAAAACATCATCTTACCACTCTTCCAAGGTCCAGTCCCTCCCCAGAACCAGAGAAAAATAAATAATCGAGGTGCTGCAATCTCATCAATTTCTAGCTTCATAATCTATAAGAAACCAAAACAATATTGCACAAAAGTATTTGTTTCCCATTCATCCTAAATCTAAAAGAACAACCAGAGATTTATCAGGACATTTTGTAGATGTCTTCTGTAAATGTACTAATTTTCATTAGGAAATATAATGGAAAATAAGTTTTATCCTTAAAACTTGTTCTACTATTGTTTTCATATTCTGTTTTAAGACACTATACATGTACATGTACAGGGAAAGAAATTATAGGAAACCTTATTTATAGAATTATGGAATTTTATAAGATGTAGCTTGAGAGAAACCCTTTAGCCATTTAGAGAAAAAGAAACTCAAATAAGAGAGATTAAATTATTCCAAAGTTAGGGGCAAAATTAAAATGAAATAAAACAACTAGGGAGGACTTGATTTCCAGTATCTACAAAACAACACATTTTATTATAAAATAAAATTTCAGACTACCTTAACTCTGAAATGCCAAAAAAATATAGTCTGTAATTTTGTTTGCCTTTTATGTGTTGAGTGTGTCACATTAAAAAAAAAAAGCTCTTGAATAATTACATCTCTAAATTTTGGGAATACCATATACTCATATAAATGAATGTAAAAGAAATTTTATATGGTATTCTTTTTCTTTCAGCTGTCTGTCACAGTTAAGAAGTTTCAGAGGCCACAGTTCAGCCAAGTATTTTCAAGTTTCATTTAGTAAGATAATCTTAACATCTACCTGACTAAGAAATCCTTTTGAGTTATAACTAGATCATCTTTAACTGAATCTAGGTAGAAACATTGTTTGGCAGTAATGATGGAAATGTTACAATATATGTAAACCTATTTTATACTTCTGACTCTTTAAGTCTTCAATCTCTCCTTATCTAATATTCTCATAGCAATATGAATAAATACGCAATACACACATGTATTCTTAAATACATTTATGTGATAGAGATAAAGATACACGATGACCCACATTTAGTGAAGAACATTAAACAAGGTACTCTCCCTTGACTGCAATTTTAAATGCTAAGTGTTGGTATTTTAAGTAAGTGCTTATATTCTTAACCAAAACACACTGACCACTACTGGGTCTCTAATGTGAAAAAGAATACTTGTGAAATCCAAACACTTTTCTTACTTACATTTTATTTATTATATTAACTATTGGTACTTTCTTTAGGATATTATCACATAAAGATTAAGAGCTTAGGGCTATGGGGCCAGACAAAACTTTTAAATATGCCAGCCAGAGCTGTTCAGTGAAATTAAACTGAAATCAAGAATATACATATAAAATGAAATTCCTGTATTTGAAAACTCTTGGTTTGTTACATATAATTGAAGATCTTGTGCTTCACTGACCAAACCTCAGAGATTGGCTAAAGAAAATAAAGTTCAACCTAACTACTAATCAAAGACATAATGAGATTTATTTTTTCAGTTTGCTTTTCTTTTGACTAAACTGACCAAGATTGCTTTTATGTTATTAATCAATTTTGATGAGATCTGGTGAAATGGATATGTCTTACACACTACTGAGGGAACAAATTCATACAACCTATTTGGAAAATATATCAGCATTAATTATCAACAGCATTGTGTATTTAACATTAAGTTCTGGGAAGACTATATATTGTGTACTTTTCTAAATTTCAACCATAAGCACAAATCACATATATCATCAGAGAGGAAAAACTTTTTTAAGTGGTAAGAGCCACAAACAGTGTAAATAAAAGTACCAGATATATTGAAACCTGTAGGAAAGATTTAAGGAAGAAAAACTGGAGGTTCACCTTGAAGAATGAATATTGTTAACAAGAAGAATAGGAGGACAGGGGAGGTTTGAAAGCACTTTTCCAAAACACTCCCATCTTTGCTTTCCCTACTTCTCTTCTGTGCTCAACACTCCTGATTACTCTCTCCCTGAAACTCCCTATTCCCTTGGCTTCTAGGACATGCATACCCTCTTAGTTCTCTTCATTCATATCTTTCCATTCTTTTCACATCTTTCACATGTGCCTCTGAAATGTGCAAGTTTTTTGAGGCTTTACTGTCAATCCACATTTTATCTTGAGACACTATCTCAGGACAAATTCCTCTATTCTCATAGGTTTATTATGCTAATCCATATTTTAAGACCAGATCTATCTGTCCATTAAGTTTCACATTTCTATCACAGTCTCCACTTGCATGTCTCACATACACCTCAAAATCAACGTGTTCGATATTATCTAATCCCTCTAATCCTGCTTCTTAAATCTACTCTTCTCAACTGGTGATAACCCACTTATCCCAAGACTCAAATCTTTGAGTCATCCTTAATTTGTACCCTCACTCAATCAATAGATCTCACCGAAAGTACTTACTGAACATTACTAAATAATCCCCTCCCTTCTATTCTTACTACCATCACCCCAACTCAGGATCCCTTCATCTCATAGCTAGGCTACTGCAAGTCTTCTATCTGCTGTCCCTTCTCCAGACCTCTTCCTCTAGTCCATCCTCCACACACTAATCTGACCATTTCACTACTGATTAAAGCCCTTCAAAGACTCCTTAATGTCTTTAGGATAAAACTCCAAGCTTCTAAGAAGACATCTCAAGACAGTTCCAATCTGTGTTCTAACAATATCAATGAGCATAGGACACCCTCTTCCACCGCACCCCAAATCAGATTATTTTTGCCTTCAACACTTATGCTCTTACTGTTCCTTATGCTTTGAGTCCCTGTCCCAACCCTTCTTTATCTGAACAACCTCAACTAATTCATTCATATTGTTCATGCGTCACCACTTCCTCTTTGCTCACGTGCCCCAGCTTCCAAGGCTTAGTCAGCTTTTCTTCAGACCATCTTATGCAGTCCTCCTAATGAACTAAGAAAATGACAAAATATGCTCCTTAAGGCTAAGTACTAAGTCTTCTTATTCAGCTTTACATTTTTAGTACCTAGCACAGTACCTAGTACAGTGACTCAATAAATATTTATTTTTATTACTAATCAGTAAAAACAGATGACTTTATGTAACTGAAGTTATCAGTTTGCTTAATTTTGTTTGGGAAAATACAACTGTATCACAATTATATAATGCTGAAATTATATATCATTTTTATCCATTATCTTCTAATTTCCTTGAAGAGTAGAAACCATGTTTCATATATATATATATTTATACATTGATCTGCACTAACACTAACTAAATACAAAAAAGTTATTAATTGTTCCTTCTGTTTTTACTCTTTTCTAGCTATACATCGAAGGTCTCTTAGACTGGAATTATGAGTCTTCTACAGACTATTTACACACTATCTGCTCAACTTTTGCCTCAAAAAGAAAAATCAGACCAAAGATATTATAATATCTGTTAATGTACCTTGGACCTTTAGCCACAATATATACTATACATCTATTATCTCTGATTCCTAAAAAGGCAGGGATGATATATATCATCTTACTTTCTGATCAAATATATATTTATTTGAAAAATAAATAATTCATTATGATGAAGAAAAACTCATCATACACAATCCCAAGTCCAGCATTTCTCATTAGCATGATACCAGTCTCTCTGTAATATTCTTCTAAAGGTGGCTCCAGAAGAATCACATCAAATTTGGGTGTCAGCTCTCTGATGTCAAAGGCTTCTATATCTGCTTGTAAGTTCCTATTTGATCAAAGCATGAAGAGAGATTTTTAAATACCTTACAGATGGTAATGAAAGAAATTTCTTAAATATTACAAAGTAATCATAAGCTAATTACTGAATATAATCTTTTTATAGGAAGGCATCTTTCTTTAGTATAGACAATAAACCATTTACCGATATTCTATTCCAGGACATGGACATGAGCACACTACAAACTAAAATAATATTCTCCCATTTACTTCCGGACTATAAACTACTCATGTTCTTTCACTGAAACGCCGTACCCAGATGTTAAGTCTTTGAGCCCCTTTCCAACATCATCTCAATTTTTTAAGGAACATCACATTACTTTCTTCTCAATTGTTCAGTGGGGTTAGGAAATCTATTTGTAGGTTTTAAATTCCTCCTTCTCAAAAAATAGTTTAAATTTTTTTCTTTTATTAGTTCATTAGTAAAATTGTTTATATTAACATTCTTTTTTGGCTACTTAATATCGATTACTACTAGCCTTTACTGAAAGGTTACTTCCATATGAGTAAGAGTATTTATAAATAGGATGAATAGAGCCTGTTAATATTTTTCCCCACATACTCAGACTTTCTTGTGATTCTTCTAATCACTAACAGTATATATTTTGGCAAACAGTTAAATGTACAAAATATTCAAACAAGCTAAATGTGAAATAGATTCTCTAATTTCAAAGAACTAATTCACATTTTTAAGGAAAACATTACTCTGTTTAGGGGAAGGGAATTCTGCATGAATTTTCATATTCCAAAATGTGAAGAGTAGTGTCCCTGGATGCTGAGTTATGATTAATTTTTATTTGCTCATTTTCCTTCATCTAAGTTTTCTAAACTTTCTCCAATAAATAAATTATTTTTGAGAACTTATCTAAAAACATTTTAAGAAGCTCAACAATACAACAAACATGAATGATTTCCTAAGAAAAGAATATTTCAAGGCACTATAAGCAAATTATCTGGAAAACTGAAAAAATTAAATGAGAATATACTACTGTGTACTCAGCACTGAAGTTTCAAACAAATATATTTTACTGTATGAAGAAATAAAGAGTATTTAACTTTATAATGGTGCTGAAATTTTTTCAAACAGACAGGTTACAGGATTAAAGAGATTGATATTTTAAGCCTGAATTGGGAATAAAAGTAATTGGAAAAAAAAAAAAACACATAGGAGGAGTGTTATAGATTTAGCTATTAATTTGTCTTTCAGCCTGATGAGCTCCCTCAGTTTAGGGTATTCTTCAAATCTGTCAGCCAGACCTAAGTGAAAAACAGAAATTATAATTTCAATATAACTGACGCTCGTATCAATGAATTCAAAGATTATAAGCCCTCTCAGGAAAACAAAGCATTACACTACAACCACTTTATTCTCATGTCTTTTTAAAAAAAGTTAATTTTTTGAGTGTTTTTAAACATTTCATATATACATTTCATACCCAATGACCCTTACCCTGCATGCATGCAAAAACCCAGAGGTTCTAAAGTCCACTTCAATAAACCATTTAATTTTGCATATTTATTAAGTTAAATAATCAGCTCATTGCATCAAGTTCACCCATTCTGTTCTCAGGAAAAGAAAAAACAGTTGCCTTTCTATCATACTGTTTTCTTTCTTTAGCTAAAAAAAATTGTTCTCGTGAAGAATCTAGTGATTGCTGATATTTTTATTTAGCTTCTTAGTTATCTAAAGCAAGAGGATATGAGTATTTCCTTTTTTTGTGAATTAGGTATAGAAAGAGACAAAGAATAGTTAGAGGTGAGAGAAATATTGCTGATGATTTTAAATTGATTGGCTATGCCTTATAGACACAATCCCAGAACAAATTTAGTTAAGAAATAATGAGTCCCTAATAGATTAGTTCTGACCTCACTCACTCTGATAACTTATCTAAATTGCACTATTAATTCCAAGACAAGTTGCTTTCTCTAAGAAAATTTCCTGTATTAATATTTATAGTCTTAAAGATCTCACACCTCCACATTACTATAAATCAAATCTGCATATTTTATTTTTTTATAATATGAAAACAAAAATTTTTTATTTTTAGGCTTAGGACCTTGAAAAACATCTACAAATCCAACAAAGGTTACTTAACATCAGTAGACTCATGGTTCCCATGTTCTCAAAAAATATTTTGATCTTTAAGACTCAGGGGAAATTTTAGGTAAAACAGCAAAATGCCTGTTTAACCAACTTCAGGGATAAGTAGGTCTGAATATTAAAGAGTACTAAAAGTTCTTATTTGGTATTTTCCCCCATATGAAACATAGCCATAACAATGTAAATTATGTAAACATCTTAATTTAAAAACCAGAAGTACAAATATTAATAACTTCAATATTGAAGAGTAAAAGGGAAAGATTTTATTTGTAGTGCCTCAATGAGTGGTTATATGTCAAGTTTCAAATAAAACAAGTTTGAAGAATTCATTATAGTCAGGTTTCAATTACAGTGGAGTCAGCTCTCAATCATCTACAAAATAGAAGATTCAACTTTTTCTCAATCCATAATTGTTTCCCCAGTACATTTTCTTTGCCTTGGAGAAGTAGGTGTCTTAAAAGCAGAAAAGTTCATATCAAAATACAGTTATAAAACTCAGTAACTTTTTTTGAAAGCCAGCTTTATTCAAGTATAACTGATATACAAAAAACTGACATATTTAATGTATATAATTTGATGAGTTTGGACATACGCATACTCCTATGGAAACATCACCATTCAGGGTAATAGACGTACCATCACCTCTAGTTTCCTTGTGCTTCTCTGGTGTGTATGGTAACAACACATAAAATGAGATATATACCCCCTTAACAAATTTTTTAAGTACTGCTGACTATAGTCAACAGTATTGCTGACTATAGGCACTATGCTATACAGATCTCTAGAAACAATTTATCTTGCATAACTGAAACTTTGTACCAATTGGACAATAACTCCCTATTTTCTCCTCCCTTCTGCCCATGGTAACAACTTCTTTTCTCTGCTATATGAACTTAACTATTTTAGGTACCTCATGAGAATGCATGTATTCATATTACATATACTATTTTAGGAGCCTCTATTAGTGCATGCATATTTGTCCTGTAACTGGCTTATTTCACTTAGCATTATCATAACTTTAAATGCTACATCTAAATTTTGCTCAGGAAAACATTAAGATCAATTTCTACTTTAAGAGTAATGTCACTAACAAGCAACAAGAAGAAAAAATAAACTGGATTATGTCGAAGCTCAAGTTTAGTGTTGCCAATGATACCATCAAGAAAGTGAAGAGACAACCCATAGAATGGAAAAAAATATTTACCAATCATATATGTGTTGAGAATTGAACTGAGAACAGATTTAAAAAACTCTTACAATGTAATAATAAAAAGACAAATAACCAATTAAAAAATAAGCAAAGGGTTTGGACATCTCTCCAAAACAGGTATTTACATGGCTAATAAGCATATGAAGGATGTTTAATACCATTAGTCACTAGGGAAATACAAATCAAAACTACAATGAAAGAACGCTTCATACCCACTAGGATGGCTATAATCAAATAGACAGATAATAATGAGTCAAGGATGAGAAGAAACTGGGATCCTCATACATTGTTGGTAGGAATGTAAAATGGCACAGCTGCTTTGAAAAACAGTTTTGCAGTTCCTCAAAAAGTTAAACACAGAATCACATGACCCAGCAATTCCACTCGTAGGTATATATTCAAGAAAAATTAAAGCATATGTCCACACAAAAACTTTACATGAATATTCACAGAAGCATTGTTTGTAACAGCCAAAAAGTGGAAACAATCCAAATGAATGAATAAACAAAATGTGGTATGTATACACAAAAGAAATGAAGTACTGACACGTACTACAACATCCATGACCCTTGAAAACATTATACTAAGTCAAAGAAGCCAGTCATAAAAATACCACATATTGTATGACTCCATTTATGTGAAATGTCTAGGAAAAATGGTAGAGACAGGAAATCAGTCAATGGTTACAGGAGGGCAAGGGGTGGAAGCCCAAGTGGAAGGAATGGTAATTAACTGCTAATGAGTACTGGGTTTCTTCAGGGGAGATGAAAATATTCTACAATTAGTGTGGTAATGGTTGCACAAACCTGTGGCTATACTAAAAAAAAGTTGAACTCTACCCTTTAGATTGGTTAATTGTACAGTATATATATTATCTTAAAAAAGCTATTTTTAGACATGCAGGGATATCTTTGTTGGTTTTATTAGTAGACTGGACACAGCTGAGGAAAGACTTTCTGAGCCTGAGGAAATCTCAAGTGAAAACTCAAAACACTGAAAAGTAATGAACAAAAACTGAATTATTTGGGAAGCTCAGAGAACACCAAAGAAGATGATGCCAAAAAAAACCACTATACCTAGGCATATCATTTTCAAACCGCAAAAATCAAAGATAAAGAAAAAATCCAGAAAGAAACCAGAGGAAAAGAACATTATACCTATAAAGGAAAAAAGAATTATATACCCAATTTCTTAGAAACACAAAAGCAAGAAGAGAGTGGAATGAAATATTTAAAGAGAAAAACCACAACATTTCTGTACTCTACAAAATTATCCTTCAAAAGTGAAAGAGAAACAAAGACTTTCTTAAACAAAAATTGAGGCAATTTGTTGCCAATAGACCTGACTTGAAAGACTGTTAAAAGAAATTCTCTAGAGAGGATGAAATTAATATAGGTCAGAAAGTCAGATCTACATAAAGAAAGGAAGAACAGCAAAGAAGGAATAAGTAAAGGTAAAATAGAAATACAGGGACAGTCACAGAATCAAACTGGAGAAAGGAAAGAAAAGAGTAACCTTGCTTGAGGGAAAAGGAGGATGTACTAGAACTACTGAGAGTGAAAAGGGGAAGCCAAGCCCCCAAAAATAACTTTGATAGAAATAATCCACAAAAATGAATAAATACTATGTACATAATAGAGAGTTAGCAACAGCATATTCCCAACAAATCAGACATACCTACATCTCTGATAAAATTCTGATATCTATGTCCAGGGTCTACAAAATGTTGGCAGTAATTATTATGGGCATTTAAAATCTGTGTTCCCTAAAAAAGAAGTCAAAATTAAATTAATAGCATTCACTCTGATGGCAGATACACTAACTCTTTACTTTCTTATTATGAGGTCATACAAATGTTGATTGATAGATTTAAAAAGTTAGTAATATTTGAAAACACCACAACTAAAATGATAGTATTACTCTTTAGCAGCTAGACATTAGTACAGTAGTGTCTCATCCTAAATAGCCAAGTATCTGAAGAAGAGTTCACAAATAATTTTAAATGATCTGTATCTTATAATAATGATCCCTCAATAACTGAAAAAATCTTGAAAACAAGTATTTAAAATGTTTTTAGGCACAGAGCTGAAATGTGACGTTTTAAGATTTGAAAATTATTTACCTTTAGAAAAGTTCTAAAATCTTTGTAAATCTCTTCTTCAAATTCTCTTCTTGTTGCATTTCTAGTTCATCCATTCAAAAAGGAAGATTAAGTAGACATTTTACATATATGTATAGGAGGAATCTTTTACGTATTTTGTTATCTTGAGTTTTTAAGTCTCCTTATAAATATTTTATTTCCCTAAGACATCATTTTTTCAAATTACCATTAAAGTCAAACACTGAAGTCTTTGCTTTCTCATCATTTGATCTACTTATATCTAAAATAAAAATTTCCTTTTCATTCTCATTAATAATGCCTATAACTACTAATTTTGTTGACTGAGATGTTGAGAATTATCTCATATATAGAGTACCATAAATATTCGAATTTAGCTCAAATCATAAAAGCTATGACCATCAAGGGGAAAATTTTACTTCTGTCAGATCAAATCATGAAACTGTTCATCTTTATAGGTCAAAAATGTTAAAGTATCAGGAACTGTACATGGTTTGACCTAAAATAATCATAAATATTTAAGTTACATATTAGCATATATCAAAATGCACTACACAAAACAACAGTGTTCATTGGATTAGGTAATTACATCATTGAACTTCCTAGAGATTACTGGAACTATGTATTTTCTTCTCTATTAACTACAGTTGTACAGTAATTAATTTGAAAATATGGAGATTAGTTTTTTTGTCCACAGTACTTTCTTTTCAACTAAATACTACAATTACAAGTTTAGAAGTTGGGTTTTTTCCTTGGGCCTCTTTCAGAATGGTTCTACAGTTGTCTGGCCCATGAATTCTTAAAATAGTTTAATTGAATTACCCTATGTGAATAACACAACTGAAAAAAGTATTGTAGCCTCTTGAAAGTTAATCCAATTATCCAGTGTCTGATACACCTAACTCCTCATTACTTTTGTTTAAGAATATTATTGCCGAAAGATGGTGGCATGAGAGGTGAGACAGAAGCTTCCTCCTAAAACTGAATATAATACGAAAATATAATTAATACAACTAATCCAAAAAGAGCAACAGAAAGGAGGACTGTGCCAGACTGCATACACTGGAGAAAAGAGCAGACCTTACAGAATAGGGTAACGTACCAAAGCTGTGGCCTGGTAGGACCCAAGTCCTTCTCCAACCCCAGCTCACAGGTGGGAGGAAGAGAAAAGGAGCAGGGAGTGAGTGGAGGCCTGGGACTGCTGACTACTTAACTCTGGAGATCTGCTCTAGGAGCACAAACCTACATTTCATGGTGCTTGCATGGTACTCTCGAGATTAGGGGTTGGAAAGCTAAGACAGGCTCTCTCTCCTGGAGAGACGGAGATTCCAGCCACTTGTGGAAAGCAGGAATCCATATCCGGCTGCTCTGGGACAAAAGAAAGGGACGCAGTCTGAGAGACTCCCTAATAACGAAGCCCTTAGTAAGAGGGCTGCTAAAGGGGCAAGGATTGCACAGAGCTTACTGCTCAGGAGAAAGGACAGGTAGACAAAATTGTCCGGGTGCACTCTGCCCAGCAGGTTGGGAGCTTTCACGATCTTCAGCTGCTCCAGCTCCCTGGCTGGTGACACAGCTCCAAGGACCCCTTCTGTGATACGTAGCCTACTGCACCTTTCTCCCCGCCAGCCCCATGGCTTGCAAATCAGCAAACCCTACCCTGGTGTTAGGCCAGACAGAGGGAAGACATGTCTACAGCAACCACAAACACAAAGCATAGAGGCTTATACCTGTGTGCTCAGCCCACTGGTTCAGGCAGTGGAGACAAGCATAGCAGCTGGGAAGCAGGAAAACAGTTCTTTCCTCCTCCCCAGGCAGCAACACTGCTGCCCTGCGACCCCTGGCATTGCTTCAGGGGCTGCACAGCTCCAGAGAGTAGAGCTTCTGGACACTAGAGGGTACCATATACAAATATGAACACAAAAGGAACCTGGTTCAAAGTTATCAGTACAATTCCTGAGAAAGAATTAAATGACATCAACCTCATGAATCTTCCTGAAAGGGAGATCAAAATAAAAATCATTAACATGCTCATGAGGTACAGAAAGATACTGAAAAACTCAGGAATGAATTCTGGTCAGAGATCCAATCATTGAAGAGCACAACAGAGGGTATTAAAAGCAGATTAGATATGGTGGAGACAATAAATGAAATAGAAACTAGAGAAGAGGAATACAAAGAAGCTGAGGCACAGAGAGAAAAAAGAATCTCTAAGAATGAAAGAATATTGAGAGAACGGTTTGACCAATCCAGATGGAACAATATTTGCTTTATAGGGGTACCAGAAGAAGAAGAGAGAGAGAAAGGGATAGAAAGGGTCTTTGAGGAGGTAATTGCTGAAAACTTCCCCAATCTGGGGAAGGCAATAGTCTCTCAGACCATGGAGATGCACAGATCTCCAAACACAAGGGACCCAAGGAAGACAACACCAAGACATATAGTAATTAAAATGGCAAAGATAAAGGATAAGGACAGACTATTAAAAACAGCCAGAGAGAGAGAAATAAGATCACATACAGAGGAAAGCCCATCACTATCACCAGACTTCTCAGCAGAAACATTCCAGGCCAGAAGGGAGTGGCATGATGTATTTAATGCAATGAAGTAGAAGGCCCTCAAACCAAGATAACTTTATCTGGCAAGATTATCATTTAAATTTGAAGGAGGGATTAAACAATTTCCAGATAAGCAAAAGCTGAGAGAATTTACCTCCAACAAACCATCTCTACTGTGTATTTTGGAGGGACTGGTATAGCAGGAAATGTTCCTAAGGTTTAATAGCTGTCACCAGAGGTAATAAAACCACAGAAAAGAAAGTAGAACAGCTAATTACTAAGCAAATGCAAAATTAAATTAACTATCCTCAAAGTCAATCAAGGGATAGACAAAGAGTACAGAATATGATACCTAATATATAAAGAATGGAGGAGTAAGAAATAGGAGGAGAAAAAAAAAAGAACCTTTAGATTGTGTTTGTAATAGCATACTGAGTTAAGTTAGACTCTTAGTAAGGAAGTTAACCTTGAACCTTTGGTAACCACGAATCTAAAGCCTGCAATGGCAATAAGTACATACCTATCGATAATCACCCTAAATGTAAATGGACTGAAAGTACCAATCAAAAGACACAGAGTCAGTGAATGGGTAAAAAAACAAGACCCATCTATATGCTGCCTACAAGAGACTCACTTTAAACCCAAAGACATACACAGACTAAAAGTGAAGGGATGGAAAAAGATATTTCATGCAACTAATAGGGAGAAAAAAGCAGGAGTTGCAGTACTTGTATCAGACTAAATAGATTTCAAAACAAAAAAGTCACAAGAGACAAGGACATAACATAATCATAAGAGGGTCAATTCAACAAGAAGATATAATCGTTATAAATATCTATGTACCAAACACAGGATCACCTACATATGTGAAACGAATACTAACAGAATTAAAAGGAGAAATAGAATGCAATGCATTCATTTTAGGAGAGTTTAACATTCCACTGACTCTGAACGACAGACCAACCAGACAGAAAATAAGTAAGGAGATGAGGCACTGAAGAACACATTAGAACACATGGACCTAACAGACACCTACAGAACTCTACACCCAAAAGCAGCAGAATACACATTCTTCTCAAGTGCACACGGAACATTTTCAAGAACAGATCATATACTAGGCCACAAAAAGAGACTTAGTAAATTCCAAAAGAGTGAAATTGTACCATCCCATTTCTCAGACCACAAAGGTATGAAACTAGAAATAAATTACAAGAAGAAAATGAAAAATCCCACAAACACATGGAGGCTTCACAACAAGCTCCAAAATAAACAATGGATCAATGACCAAATAAAAACAGAGATCAAGCAATATGTGGAGACAAATGACAATAATTCAACACCACACAAAAAAAAAAATCTGTGGGATGCAGCGAAGGCCATGCTAAGAGGAAAGTATATTGCAATACAGGCCAACCTCAGGAAAGAAGAACAATCCTATATGAGGGGTCAAAACTCACAATTAATGAAACTAGAAAAAGAAAAACAAATGAGGCTGACAGTCAGTAGAAGGAGGGACATAATACAGATTAGAGCAGTAACAAATAAAATCGAGAATAAAACAATAGAAAGACTGAATGAGAGCAAAACCTGGTTCTTCAAGAAAATAAACAAAATAGATAAACCCCTAGCCAGACTTATCTAGAAAAAAAGAGTCTACTCACATAAACAGAATCAGAAATGAGAAAGAAAAAATCACTACAGACACCACAGAAATACAATGAATTATTGGAGAATACTACAAAAAATTATACGCTAACAAACAGGATAACCTAGAAGAAATGGACAACTTCCTAGAAAAATACAACATTCCAAGCATGACCCAGAAAGAAACAGAAAATTTGAACAGACCAATTACCAGCAAAAAAATTGAAGTGGTAATCAAAAATCTACCTAAGAACAAACTACCTGGAGCAGACATCTTCACTGCTGAATTTTAACAAACATTTAGTGAAGACCTAATACCCATCCTCCTTAAAGTTTTCCAAAGAGTAGAAGAGGGTATACTTCCAAAATCATTCCATGAGGCTAGCATCACTCTACTACCAAAACCAGGCAAAGACACCACAAAAAAAGAAAATTACAGACCAATATCCCTGATGAACATAGATGCGAAAACACTCAACAAAATATTACCAAACCAAATTCAAAAATACATCAAAAAGATCATCCATCATGATCAAGTAGGATTTATTCTAGGGATTCAAGGATGGTACAACATTCAAAAATCCATCAACATCATCCACCACATCAACAAAAAGGACAAAAACTACATGATCATCTCCATAGGTGCTGAAAAAGAATTTCACAAAATTCAACATCAATTCATGATAAAAACTCTCAACAAAATGGGTATAGAGGGCAAGTACCTCAACATAATAAAGGCCATATATGACAAACCCACAGCCAACATTATACTTAAAGGGAGAAGCTGAAAGCTTTTCCTTTAAGATAGGGAACAAGACAAGCATGCCCACTCTCCCCACTTCTGTTCGACATAGCAGTGGAGGTCCTACCCATGGCAATCAGACAACACAAAGAAATAAAAGGCACCCGGAATGGCAAGGAAGAAGTTAAATTGTCACTGTTTGCAGATGACATCACATTGTACATAACAAACCCTAAAGAATCCACTCCAAAACTACTAGATCTAATATCTGAATTCAGCAAAGTTGCAGGATACAAAATTAATACATAGAAATTTGTGGCATTCCTATACACTAACAATGAACTAGCAGAGAAATTAGGAAAACAATTCCACTCACAAATGCATCAAAAAGAATAAAATACCTAGGAATAAACCTAACCAAGGAAGTGAAAGAGCTATACTCTGAAAACTACAAGACACTCATGAGAGAAATTAAAGAAGATACCAATAAATGGCAACACATTCTGTGATCTTGGGTAAGAAGAATTAATATTGTCAAAATGGCAAATCCTGCCTAAAGCAATCTACAGATTCAATGCAATTCCTATCAAAATACCAACAGCATTCTTCAACAAACTAGAGAAAGATCATTCTAAAATTCATATGAAACCACAAAAGACCCTGAAAAGCCAAAGCAATCCTGAGAATGAAGAATAAAGCAGGCGCGATTATGCCTCCCAACTTCAAGCTCTACTACAAAGCCACAGTATTCAAGATAATTTGGTACTGGCACAAGAACAGACCCATAGACCAATGGAACAGACTAGAGAGCCCTGATATAAACCCAACCATATAGGAGCCATGGACATACAATGGGGAAATGACAGCCTCTTCAACAGCTGGTGTTGGCAAAACTGGACAGCTACATGCAAGAAAATGAAACTGGATTATTGTTTAACCCCATACACAAAATTAAACTCAAAATGGATCAAAGACCTGAAGGTAAGTCATGAAACTATAAAACTCTTTGAAGACAACAGAGGCAAAAATCTCCTGAATATAAGCATGAGCAACTTCTTCCTGAACCCATCTCCTCGAGAAAGGGAAACAAAAGCAAAAATAAACTCATGGGACAACATCAAACTAAAAAGTTTTTGTACAGCAAAGGACACCATCAACATTCATTATGGGAGAATATATTTGTAAATGACATATCTGACAAGGGGGTTAACATCCAAAATATATAAAGAACTTACACACCTTGACACCCAAAAGCAAATAACCCGATTAACAAATGGTCAGGGGATCTGAAGAGACGGTTCTCCAAAGAAGAAATTCAGATGGCCAACAGACACATGAAAAGATGCTCCATATCACTAATCATCAGGGAAATGCAAATTAAAACCACAATGACATATCACCTCACACAGTAAGGATGGCCAGCATCGAAAAGACTAAGAACAATAAATGCTGGTGAGGATGTGGAGAAAGGGCTACCCTCCTACACTGCTGGTGGGAATGTAAGCTAGTTCAACCATTGTGGAAAACAATATGGAGGTTCCTCAAAAAACTAACAGAAATGCCATTTGACCTGGGAATCCGACTCCTTGGAATTTACCCAAAGAATACAACTTCTCAGATTCAAAAAGACATATGCACCCCTATGTTTATTGCAGCACTTTTTACAATAGCCAAGATATGGAAGCAACCTAAGTGTTCATCAGTAGATGAATGGATAAAGAAGATGTGGTACATATACACAATGGGATACTATTCAGCCATAAGAAAGAAACAAATCCTACCATTTGCAACAACATGGATGGAGCTGGAGGATATTATGCTCAGTGAAATAAGCCAGGTGGAAAAAGACAAGTGCCAAATGATTTCCCTCATTTGTGGAGTGTACCAATGAAACAAAACTGAAGTAACAAAACAGCAGCAGAGTCACAGACTCCAAGAAGGGACTAGTGGTTACCAAAGGGAGGGGTGTGGGAGGGTGGGTGGGGAGGGAGGGAGAAGGGGATTGAGGGGTATTATGTTTAGTACACATGGTGTGGGGGATCACCGGGAGAACAGTGTAGCACAGAGAAGGCAAATAGTGTATCTGTGGCATCTTTCTACACTGATGGACAGTGACTGCATTCTCGTATGGGTGGGGATTTGAGAATATGAGTAAATGTAATAACCACATTGTTTTTTCTTGTGAAACCTTCAAAAGAGTGTATATCAATAATACCTTAATAAAAATTTTTTAAAAAATTATTGCCTACTGTTCAGTAGGCATTATGTTAAGTGCTTTTTATATGTTGCCTAATTTAATCCACACACCTCTTAAATGAAAATTATACATATGCTACTGACAATTATTTTAGACATTTTAAAATTCAGCTTTCCATTAAATTTTTTCCTGCATAAGAATCTATTATTGTAAGGACTTATTTTTCATGACCATAAAATCGTCTCACTCTCTACTTGCATTATATTCTCCCACTTTGTCTTCGTCTGTCTCTTCTTCAACCTGATACTTGCAGTTTTGCATGTGGAGCAGAAGTATCATAGGAAGCCCTGAAAATTAAAGCTAAACTATCACACTGAAATATTTATATAAGATACAGACATTCATCTATTAACAATATTAAATAACAGGTTATAAAAACAGAACAAGGCACTTGTTTCTTGATTAAACAGTATCTATTCACTCAGTTTACAAATCTTAATATCAAAAAACCTGATTGATAATTCTGCATTTTATTTTTATTAGTAAGCAACCAAATGAGAAAATAAGCTTTCATAATGGCTATATGGCAAAAAGAAACTCCTATATTATCTATCATTCTAATCAGTCTTAAGCAAAACTGATAATCAAATTGATTACTAGAATACTGAAAAACTATGAAATGCTTTATGAACTAATTATGAATACAATTTTTAGGGTAAAATGTGTTTTATAAGAAATTTTAAAATATAATTATTTGTGGTATATAAGTGAATTCTTACTCTAATTTTTCATTTCCTAACTACTTTATAAATGAGAACTTACTATTCAGGAAATAAGTATTTTCTGATTGATGAACAGTAAGAACCAGTGTTTCTGAGATCTTTATTTTGATGCTTGTTACAACAACATACTTCATACATAGGATTATATATTAAAACAACAATCATTTCACAATATTGTCCTGTCACTAAAAAAAACTGTTCAACAGACCTGTACGTTTCAGCAATTTCTCTCTGCTCATCTTTACTGTTTAACACAGCACCAATGCTGTCAGCACTTTCAGCTCCCAACTGAAAAAAAGCAAAAACCAAAACTTAAGTAACAATGCAATGGGACAGCCTTTCCAGCTTTCCAGTTTTACCTCAGCAGGCAAATGGATTAATTACCTTGCAGGAAAAATGGTAAGTACCTTAGAACAAAACCATGTTAATAATGATTTTGGCAGCTGAAAAACATTTTACAGTTTCAGTTATATTTGAAATTAAGACACTAGTCAATCCTCTAGTTTTAAAGTAAATAATAAAACAGTTTAGTAGTAGCAGTAACAAAAAAAAAAGCAGCTACTGTGTAGCATTTATAATGTGGCAGGCACTATGTCAAACAACATGTCCATCAGCCTGTGCCTTATACCTTCTCCCATGCTTTAATAAGTATCTATCCAGTTTTATCAAGCCAAGTCTTTATACAGTTATTATACACACAATTTGAACTGTGTTTTTACCAATACCTAAAAAATGGTAATGCAAATTCTAGTTGACAGTTCTACAAAGTTAGGGTCGAAGATTGACCCAACAGGAATTATTCTGCAAAATACAATCATCCGCCAGATAAAGGCAAATCAACCAAATTATACACACTGACTGAGTTGTGTTCTAGTCTGGTAGTTCATCGATCAATAAATGTTTATTTAAAGCTTACTTTAGGAAAAAACAAAATTAGGGTAGAAGATTAACCCAACAGGAATTAAATGCAAATAATGCACTCAGAATGCTTATATCTGGTATGACAATAAGTTGCAGATTGCAAGGACAATCAAAGCTCAGAGGAAGAAGTACCTAGGCCAGGGAGATCAGAATAGGTTTCATCACTAAGTTTTAACCTGAGTTGTGCCATACAGGATAAACAGAAATCAGAAAGGAAGGAAGACAATTTTTTTAAAAAAATCATTAAGTATATATTGCACAAACCACATTCTGGAGGGAAATGAACCAGTTTGTCTCATTCATATGGGAAAAAGTAAGAGAAAGAAAACCTTAGTTGGCAAAGTGGAAGCCTGTCACTGATTTCAGACATCCTTACTTATCCAATTAGAAGACCAGTAGGCAGCGAGGTATACTGGAAAGAACACAGACCTAAAACTGCAGCATGCAAACTTACCAGCTTTGTGGCCTTCATAATGTTAGCTAAATTCTTGGAGCTCTATTTTCTTCATCTATAAAATGCAGATAGCATCTGACTTACACAAGTGAAGACAGAACATAAAAAGCTTACCAGAGTCTTGACACATACAAGGGACTTTAAAATGACAGCCATTATTAAATTTTATGTACTTTCTATGGTTTTTGAGGGTAGGGACTACCTATTATTCATAGTTGAATTGCCAATGCCTATCAG